GCGATCGTGTCCGGGGCCCCCCGCCGTGGTTTTTGCGGTCCCCTGCTCCTCTGGGGGACCCATGACCACGGCACAGGAGCTCACCATAGAGCTGCTATAGCAGACGAAGAACATCCGTTCTTTTTCTGCTCTGTGTGATCACTGAGACCGTGGCGCTGTAAAGTTAAGTGAAAAAAACAAAAATGTAAAAAAAAATTAAACAGTAAAAGATGACACGAAATAATTGAAAAAGTGATAAAAAATACAGAAAAAAATGTAAAACCAACCCTGCCCCCCCCCCCCAGGAGGGGGGCGCATAGAGGAACCTGGCCTTGGGGCAGCAGAGAGGGTAGATCCGACCATAGGTCTACTTTAACTACCAACTACCGGTGCTTTTGTGGCATGTTGGTGCAGGCATCCCGGGAGTCACTGAGTGGTTCAATCCAACAGAATCCACCTGTGTTTGGGTGGAACGACCCATTACCAGGCACCTCAACATGACCAGATCAAAGGATCTACCTATGAAAAGTAACCTTTATGAGAGTTTTAAAACATTTTTGTACTGTAATATTCCAAATGAGATTCCCCAAGCTTACCTGATTGACCTCTTCCAACCTCATTTCTTGTTGTGCCTTCAGTATCCCAAAAGCTTTCCCACCTAGAAAGTGAAGGGTGATATACATAACAATGCATGGGACACTCATTTCATAGCATATGCCTTTTCATTCGGATATATAAAGCTACAACTTTTCCGTTAAAGTAGAACTATGGTCTAAAACCAAACATAAACTGAAGGGAATTTATCAAAACTGGTGCAGATACAATCTAGAGCAGCTGTGCATGACAACCAATCAGCATCCACCTTTCATTTTCAAAGCTTAACTGAACAAACTGAAGAGAGAAGCTAATTGGTTGCCATAGGCGACTGCTCCAGATTTTGTCTGCTCCAGTTTTGATAAATCCCCCTAACTGTATATTGCAGCATGACAAGTTGAGTAATGAAGTGTTGATTGTTTTGACTGGTTTGCTTAGAAATGTCAAAAAGGTACCTTGGATCTGCACTTGCTGGAGACCTCAGGCGCCCCATCTGTCAAAAATGTAAAGTGCTGATATCGGCGCTTGGTGTCTTGTGTCTGGGTGTCAGCTGGCTTGAAACCCAGACACAGGACTCAAAAACCGGACTGTTCGGGTGAATCCCGGACCGGTGCCAACCCTATGCATCCATAGGACATGAAGTCAAGGGACATTTTCCCAAGGGAAAAACTGCACAAAAATTGTTGCCAGGGGTTAATGCCCACCCTGTGCTATCTGAAGCTATAATAAACATTTTTGGCTCTACATACATACATCCTTTTCTGTGTGACGCTCAGAGCACCTTAATGCGTATGTGTCCCATACCATACACAATGAGGCGCCCTGCGCTAAAGCAGCCCATTCATTTTGAAAAGGTTGGCCGAGCACCTTAACACAACTTAACACCTGCAATATATTGTACAATGTTCCTAAAGACATGACATACGTGCTATAGTGCACGTGCCTTGACAGCTACTATATGTGTGAAATTGAGCTGACATTCTAAAGAAATGCACTGTGACATACATACTACCCTGCATGCTGCAACACATGGGTATGAAGCAAGCCTAAAGCCAACATAAGCAGTGGGGTCTCTGTACTCAATGTGACATATGACAGCCTCCAGTAAAAAACTGGCACTCTATCATTCATCCCCCTTATCCCTCAATGGAATGCGCCATGTCCCTCCAGCCAATCCAAAGGCATGTATCCCAAATGTCAGAACTGGAAGTTGGAGTTTGCATGCTGCACACACTTGGTTCAGAGCCTTCCAGGTCACTCAGGAAGACACTTATGACATCAAGCTACTTAACACAGCTTCCGTTGCTTGTTACTGGTTACTCCTCTTTTATAGGCTTTATTTTGAGACAGGTTCACTTTAAATGATTTCAGCTTAATAGGAGAGTGCAACATCACCAACATTTTTACATAAAATTCAGTGACATTTAGCTTTAAATTGCTCTGCCCATCATATAAAATACTGACTTGGTAACAGCATACCGTCAATAACGCCTTATCGATTTAAAGGTCAGTCCACCTTGAATTGATATTTCAGGATCCAGTAGATGCTGGAAGGGTTAAGGCACAGTTTCTTCTATCTCTCTGGGACTTTATTATAGGGGGCTCCCACCATCCCGCTGGATTGTTTATTTCATATTATGGAGGATGTAACAGGAGGAGCTGGAACACACAAAGGTGGGCTGTATCACTCAAGACTCCCGAATCTCAGAAACAGATTCGGAAGTTATGGCAGAGAGATCTCCCTGTTGGAGTATCCAAGACATATAAAAAGGCAGGGACTGACTCAGCTCACCAGGATGCACCTATAACTAAAATATCACTTGTGTGGAATGACCCTTTAAATCAGAAAACAGATTCTTTTTAGGATGCTTGAATTTGCATTTTGGTACACAGTAGTTTAAAACAGTAACTGAGTAAAGGTCATTTGGACACGAAGGAGTTCACTGTTTAGACAGAAGCATATTTTGGTCAAATGTATCAGTGTCCAAATCAACTGTAATCATTTACGATGGCACAGATTTGTTAATGTGACACTAAACTCAGGAGTTAAATCTAAAAAAAAAACCATTCTAGTACCTTACCTATTGACAAAAGTGTATCTTATTTGTGTATCACTGGGCTGTGGATCCTGAATTGGTGCTGGCTCTGTCCTTCCTTCTGAAGTTGGGCAACTTTTGTTCCCTATGGTCCCTGTGTGTGTGTTAAAAAAGTAGTCACCGCTCCAAGCTCACTCCCGTGATCGACTACAATCTCAATACAAATTGGTAAACTAAACATGAGATTGTAGTCCATCACAGGAGCGAGCTTGGAGCGGTGGCTACTTTACAACACACATAGGGACCATGGGGAACAAAAGTAGCCACCCTCCAGAAGGAAGGACAGTGTCAGCACCAATTCAGAGATGATTTGAGCATCTACAGCTACACAGATAAGATACATTTTTGTTAATAGTTAAAGTACTTGAATTTATTTTTGAGATTAAATTCCTGAGTTCTGGGTTACTTTAAATAATTATCTGCAGCACTCCGACCCCTTGCTTTAAAGTCAGAAGTGTAAATCAAAGCCAACTCAGCAGCATCTAAAAAGTAAATGTAATTTCCACATACTTTCAATCTGCTTTTACAATACAGCGAGCATTTTTCTCATGTGATACTTTTCCATCCCATAGAATAGTTAGTGATAAGAATCTTAAAGACAAATGGAATGTAAGGTGTGATCACTTTTAAAAGCCGGGGACCTTTTCAGGGACAAACCTACAAACACATGGACTGTCTCTGGAAATCAGGGACAGTGAAGGTGTAATAATGGTCACTGCCTGTACTTGTGGGTTCTTTAAGAAGTGCCAGTGCAGCAGCACAGTTGGAAAAGTTGTCCTACCTTGCATTCTGTTGTTGTTGTTGCTTGTCATGCTGACTTCTATCTGAGTCCAGAGATTAGCCCTGAGCTGTTAGATGCACACACTAGTGACAATCTCCTTGCTCTGAGCAGATGGCTATGGGAAACAGCTAACATTGGCTGTTCTAAGCAGCCCAACCCTTCAAGCTCAGCCCTTGTGCTTTCTCAACTATAGCTTTGCCTTGGCAATAACTTACCTCCCCCTGCTGGCAGAAAGAGAATACAACTTCTCAGGCGCAACTTTGTATGCAATGGGCCTGATTTACTAAATCTGGCCGTACGCTGGTAGATTTTTGTACGAACGTTCATACGAAAGATCTCATCAGAACATTCAATTATGTCATCAGAGACTTGACTAATGTTGTTCGAAATTTTGTTTGATTTTAATATCTACAGGGTTATTCAATAAATAGGGGGAAGAGTTTGGAGAAGGCAGGAGAAGTGAACAATCTAGGACAACGTAGCTGATTTGGAAAAATTCTCCAATTCAGCTTACTTTCCAGTTCAGCTATGTTGTCCTAGATTGTTCACTTCTCCTGCCTTCTCCAAAATCTTCACCCTTTTGTGAATAACCTTGTTAGTTTTGGAAATGGAGAAACATTTTCCATCCTGTTCCTTCAATTTTATTCATCATTATGGTCAAAAACAATCATTGATTTGACTTCAACTATTATGAAATCGAACAAACTTTCCAAAAACTATTTTTTGCTAGAAAAATTCTACCTTATGGGGAAAAACACTGACCCCATAGTTCTCCTTTAATGCTCAGGCGGGAATGCTGGCGCATACTCTCGTGATACTTACCATGCAACATCAGAGTGTGAATATATGTGAGCACAGGCAACAGTGAGTATGGATTTACTATGTTGTATGTTGGATTTACTAAGAAGGGTATTTTTCAATATGGTTTCTATTTCAGTGTCAAAATGTACACCAGCCAAGAGATGTCAAGCTTAAAGTGACACTAAACTAAGGAGTTAAACCTTAAAAATGCATTCAAGTACCTTAACTATCAACACAAATGTATCTTATTTGTGTATCACTCGGCTGTAGATCCTCCAATCATCTCTGATTTTGTGCTGACACTGTCCTTCCTTCTGGAGGGGGGCTACTTTTGTTCCCCATGGTCCCTGTGTGTGTTATAAAGTAGCCATCGCGCAAAGCCTGCCCCCATGTTGGACTATTAATTTGTATTCTTTTAACAGTTAAGGTACTTGAATGTATTTTTTATGTTTAAACTCCTCAGTTTAGTGTCCCTTTTAAAATAGTGCCCACTGCTATCATTAAAGTGGAGCTCCAGCTTGCCCCCACCTAAAGCCCCCCCCATTGTTAAATATACCTCATGCACCGTACACTTTGCATATAGCACAAAGACGCCCTGTAAATGGTGGTAGCGCCTCCCCCTCCCTGTGCCCCCCTAGGTACGCCACTGACGAAGCCCTGGGAAAGTAGGCGGGGTGAAAGGCGTCAATGGCCTCCAAGGCCATCCAGAGTGAAATCACCTGGAGCAACTCAGAACTCCAAGAAACTTTGCTTGTGTACACAACTTACGTGAGTACCCTCATCTTATGGTGTTATCTGCTAAATTACTGAGGATTTCCCTGCTGTGAACTTTTATATCTTTCACCAAGGAGAGTTTAAAGTTCCTTAACGGAACGTGTGGGACTATATTCAATACCCAGGCTGATCACCTGGATGGGAAACACCACAACTATTCGTTATATCTCCTATGTGGAATACACCACCTGTGAAAGTATATGAGGAGATTCCTGTTATAAGTGATGCAAACAGATCCGTTGTGATATTTAGTATCTTAAACTCCTCTGCGGGATTCAGCAGCAAAAGAAACTTTGTTACTATTTACAAGATACACCTGATATAGAGAATAATCTTTGTTCTCATCTCTGAGGTGATTGCAACAATACTTTCAAGCACATAAAACTGTCAGATTAACACCTGACACTCATAGCTTTACCGGCTTATGAATGAAAATCACTAACTGATTAATTTAAACTTTGCTTTACTGACATGCATGGCCAGATCTCCCACAAGACCACCACCGTGTGGGTATTTTTTAATGACATTTAGCCCTGCTTCGAGCAAGCAGGGCTAAATGTAGACCGGAGAAGCCGGTGTTTTAGTACAAGTGACCTCGTCGATACCACCAAGATCACTTATGATATGCCTGCAGGTCCGTCCCTCCATGCCCGCCTCCACCTCCGGCTGCCTCTGTCTCCGCTGGCCCCCTCCCTCCCCGGTTTTCCAGGTCCCCCCCTCTTCTGGGGGACCCAGGACCACGGCAAGGTAGTTCAGGAAGGAGAGCAGGTAGCAGAGCGGAGAATGTCTGTTCTCTGCTCTGCTCCGTGTAAAAACATGCTTTTTCCTTGCACTGGTGTGTGGCTGGTGGAAAAAAAACAGCCCTTATTTCTCCACCAGCCACACACCAGTGCAAGAAAAAAGCATGTTTTTTAAGGCCCGCAACAAGGAAAAGAGGTTCTTCCAGAATTCCCTTGTCGCTTGACCACCATCTGACCCATGTCCAGTTTTTCTGTTTCTTTCTCTTTTCGTTTCCCTTGGGATATCTCCAAGTGATCGGTATTGAGATTTGATTGCTTTTAATCGTTGGGAGCAGAGAGCAAATCACAGGAGGAGGTGCTGAGGGGCGTGCTTCCGATGACCGCAATGCTGAACGGGCAGTGTGCGCTTGCGCACACCGGCCCATGCGGCATTTATCTTACGAACATGCCACACACCCGCCGACAATCCTATGATTCTCGGCGGGTTTTCGAACATGTTCATAAGATAAAAGTCGTGCGACCTTACAGAAGCAGAGGTCGCACGCCTTCCACACACCTTGCGATAATCGTACGATTGCGGGATTTCCCGCGATTATCGTACGATTATTACAAGGTGTGTGGGCACCTTAAGAAAGTGGAAAGAGAAAGGAAAGGAGGAAGGTGTCGTCTTTACTGGATATCATTGCAGACATTCTGTTGTTGAGATGGCGAAGGCCCGTATGAAGTAAAACAACAGAGTTTTTTCCCTTACCTCTCTTGAAGAGTTTTGGGAGAACGCAGAAGGAGTCCTGTCGGATATTATATGACTGACATTCAGTGTTCTGGTAAGGGAATACACCAATACCCCACAGCCCACTGGTATTGCATCTATTCAATCTCTCTATAAGACACAGTGGACACTTGTTATATAATTTTTCATTTTTTGTGACATTAGATATGGCAATAATGCACTCCTTATATTTCACTACTCATTTATTAATTACGGTTCTTCACTGAAATCCTAAATGGAAAATTTGGCACTACATCACTTAGATAGTTTCACTTTGTGGTGCATCATTGTTTCCAAGTGTATTGCACTCTCAGTCACACATGTTTTAGGTCTGACCTTTATTTGTTGATCATTTAATTCATGGTTTGTTTTTTCTATCACTTATTATAAAGTGTTTTAGCACTGATCTAGCGCAACAAAGTTGCATTCATTATTCCACAGGTGTTACAATCACATATTGTTGCGGCTGGTCTAATTAGAGGCACACATTTTCCTAGCGCAGTTGTTTTTCGTTTAATCTTAAGAAGGCATATGTGTTGACGTGTGAAAAGGGTCAGACAGCAGTTTTGTGTATGCAAGGTATGTTAACTTCTCAAAAAACACAAACCAGAAAAGGTATAAAAGGGTTAAATAAAGTACTGACATGGTGAGAAATGTCCTTGTGATTGGTAACGGAAGCTGTAAACCAGATTCTGGAGGAAACATTGGTACAGCCAGAGAAAAGACATATCAACTTCATAGACGTAAACATAGGAATAATTGGAAAATGGAACAGAATCCCAAAAGGGAAGCAAATCCATAGAACACCAGGGAGTAACAATCTCATGGGGGAGGGTTAGTATACTCAGAGTAGAGAAGGAAAAACTATGGCATGAGATACCAGCCAATAGGAAACACCGGCAATGGCAAATAACAAGTGACCCACATAGGAAAGCTGGAAGCCATAATAAATACTGAGAAGGGGAAGTCAATGTTACGCCAGGGTCCCGAACAACACAGGCAACTGATAACAGCAGCTTCAAAGTGAAACTAATATAGAAGGACCTGGTAGGTCAAGAAAACCTGTACGAAAAGACAGGGGTTGGGAGAAGATAACATAAACACTGTCCTTCCTTCTGGAGGGTGGTTACTATGGTTCTCCATGGTCCCTGTTTGTGTTGAAAAGTAGCCATCGCTCCAAGCTTGCTCTCGTGATGGACTACAATCTAAACTACAAATTAGTAAACTAAACATGAGATTGTAGTCCATCCGAAAAAAAGAGCTTTTAGCCATAATTTGCTAGTATGAACAGAATAATACCACATAATGGCAGACTTACCTGACAAAGTAATCCTCTGCAGTGTTCCCCTCCCTTAGTGGTGCTTCCATCTTTGCCCAGGTCTTCTTTTGTGTTCTGAGCCTTTGGCCACTCCATGGCTATATGAGGTAATTATGATGCATTGGGGTTACTTCATCTCATCCAGAATCTTGCTGAGACTGTGCCATGTGCATGTGTCAGAAGCACAGTATTTAGATAATATTGCTGTGAAAGGGAAGATATAGAAGACATACGTGTAACCAGTGGTTTATGGGAGACTTGGTACATCAAGATAGTACCACTACTCTGAGCAGAGACCACTCTGTGGCTAACTAAGAATAGTACAGAATGAGCAACATGCAGAATACAGTAGAAACCAGTAGAAGCAGGATAGCAGTCATTTTCAAGGGCATATTGTGTATCCTGCATATGCGAGTCCAGGTACAGATGAAGTTGTATGAATACTCAATAAGAAAGTACCCTGTGGCAAGCTGACACATACACAAGGGTACAGAAAGTACCAAAGAGAAAATAAGGCTAATTTGCGGTTATTAATACATGAAGGGATCAGAGACTGTAGTATACAATACAGGTACTGTTGCTCTGTGATTGAAGAGCACTCTGCGGCTGTTTAACACATTATAATGTTATAATATTCAAATAATATCACTCACATTCAACGCATCCCGCCCTATCCCCAAAGATAAAATAAAAGATGGACATACA